GAGAGGGCACCTTGCCGGTAGAAGAGAGCTCGGCGGCATGGGAACGACGACGAGGACGTAGTGGTCATGGAACCCGGGGAAACTCGCCAAACGGCTTTCCCTACGCAGGTCGAGGTGGGGAGCAGCAGCTCGGACATCCATGTGCCGTGCTGGATAGTTTGTAGTTGGGATAGGCTAGAGACTCCCGGAGTTCCCGAGCAGCTGCTCCGCGGAATGATGATGTCCTACATCACTGAAGAGGCCGGGAGTACTGGGAGCAACACATTAGAGTGCTCGCTCATTCGGGCTGCAGCTCAGGTAAGTTCATACTTAAGTGCCTTCATTGTTTGAAGTGTGTTTCCTTGTGCTAACATTGCACCTAGTGTTCGCAGAACGCATGCTCGGCCATTGTTGTGGTTGACCGCCTTCGTGAGTTGCGGCAGTGGTACAAGAAGGAGCATTCCGAGTACCTGCAGTTGAAGGCGCAATTGGCCGAGCTTCAGGCGGCCGGGGAGCAATATGCTGCACTAGAGAAGGAGGTGGCCGAGAAAGTAGAGTTGGTTCATGGCTTAAAGCATAGGATCATCAAACTCAAGGTAGAGAGGGAACGACTGAAGCAAGAAGCCGCCGAGGAGGCAGTGGCGTGGTACAAGAACTTAGTGGAACTTCGGCAGAACATGGATCGGTATGCTTCGGCTTCCTACGAAGCAGGTTTTATCGTCTTCCGGCGGAGAGCGCTGTGCCATTGTCCCGAGCTATCCAATGTTGCGCAGACATGGGAAGTCTATGACGATGAAATGCCCCCGACCTCAGACGAGCTTGTTGGGGAGGAAGGCGGATGTGGTGACATTGATGAAGATGGGGATGACAAGGCCACCAACTTCCCTTCCGCGGATTGAACTACCATGGGTCCCTTCTTTTTCTTTTTGTTGCTCTTGTAATGGCTCGGTATGCCAAGCTTTCGCCTAATGTACTGGTTGCTTTAACTTAATGAAATTTTCTTGTTCCAAACTTGTGTGCAACTTATATATTTTATTTTTGTTTCCTCGGCTTTGCCTTGGCCAAGGTTTGGTTTGGCCGAAATCTTTAGCCTCCGACTTGTGAAGCGAGAGTGCATTCCGAGCTCTCGTCTTTGGGATGCTTAGTTTCCGGTCTCGGGTGCCGTTAGGGCCCTTCGAGGGCTAGCCGTTGCTTGGCTAGCTTTTGCCGACTTAGTCGGTAGGCGAGTAGAGTTTGGTTGGCCGTCCTCAGGCCTTGAGGGGCGTGGGCGTTCTTCTCCGCTTTAGGCTCACACCATTCGAAGGTCAGTTGAGTCAGGTAGGTCGGCGATGTGCTGCCAAGCTATGCATTGTGGGCTCAGGCCGTTCGGAGGTTAGTTGAGTCAGGTAGGTCGGCAATACGCTGCCTAGTTGTGCGTTGTGGGCTCAAGTCGTTCGGAGGTCAGCCGAGCCAATGGGTTATACCGAGCTAGACATGTATGGTCGTGTAGCGTGGTCATGTAGCTCGGTCGTGTAGTGCAGTCGTGTAGCTTGGTCGTGTAGTGGCGTGTGTGTTCTGTGTGGTGTATGCGCATGTGGTGTGTCGGGCGCTCAATGTTTTGCTTGAACAAGGTGCTGTTTAATATTGAGTCATTGATAGTACATCCGAAGGTTTCTTGTGTTCCAACTCCTTAATATTGGTCGGCCATTTAGGTCTTCGATCCTGTACGTGGCCGGACCAAGAACCTTGGTGAATCTATACGGCTCTTCCCAGTTTGGTCCGAGCTTTCCTTCTCTGAGCGTGGGCACTATGACTTTGCGGAGGACGAGGTCACCTGTCTTGAACTCGTGTCTTCTGACTTTTGTGTCGTAGTACTTCGCCATCCTCTACTGCTGTGCTACCATCCTGACATATGCTCGGTCTTGGGCTTCCTCGATCCTGTCTAATTCTGCGCGGAGGTCCTTGTCGTTCTGGTCTTCATCGAAGAGCTCAGTCTAGAGGGTTGGAGAGCCAATCTCTACAGGTACCATAGCTTCAGCTCCGTAGGTCAAGCTGAAGGGTGTCTCACCGGTGGCTATCCACGGAGTAGTCCTGTATGCCTAGAGTATGCTCAACAGTTCCTCGACCCACCTCCCCCTGGCCTGGTCTAGCCAAGTCTTCAGGCCGTGCAACAAGGTTCGGTTGGTTAACTCGATCTGCCCATTGCTCTGGGGTCGGTGTACATCCGTGGTCCGATGGTCGATCTTCAGGTCAGAGCAGAGGGCCTCGAACTTTCGGTCGGTGAAATGTGTCCCGTTATCTGTGATGAGGATGCGCAGAATACCGAATTGGCAGACAATACTTTGGCAAAAAAAGTTATGGGCATTATGCACAGTAATGCATGCTAGAGCTTCGGCTTCCACCCATTTGGTGAAGTAGTCCACCGCCATCGGGAGGAACTTTTTCTAAGCAACCGCAGTGGGGAAGGGGCCGAGGATGTCCATCCTCCATTGTGCGAACAACCATGAGCTGGTGATTGGCTTTAGGGGGACTGTAGGCTGGTGATGGAGATTGGAGTGTCGCTGACAACTGTCGCATCTTCGAACTAATTGGGTTGCTTCTTGCTTCATCGTCGGCCAGAAATGACCTTGCCAGAGTGCCTTGTGTGCTAGTGTGCGTGCGCCGGGATGATCTCCATAGATACCTTCGTGGATCTCCCTAAGGACGTAGTTTGCCTCGGATAGGGAGAGGCATTTCAAGTAGGGGAGATTGTGTGAGTGGCGGTAGAACTGACCCTGGATAAGGCAATACCGGGCTGATCTGTGCTGGAGTTTCTTTGCTTCTATCCAATCTTTTAGAAGTGTGCCTTCCCGGAAGTACTGTGCTATGGGGTCCATCTAGGATGGGTCATGTTGTACCGGGGGGATGAGGAGAGCTGTCTGTGTGATTCTCGGCTGGGCCAGAGTGTTCAACCGTGCTATCTTGCCGAGGTCGGTTCTTGGGGAGCTGGCTAACTTAGCGCGTCGGCTCATGTTCTCGGCTCGAGGAATCTGTTGGATGTTGAAGTGCTCTAGTCGGTGGATGAGCTCCTGCACCTTCTGTAGGTAACTTACCATCGTGAGCGTTCTCGTCTCAAATTGTCCATTGATCTGGTTGACTACCAGCTGAGAATCACTAAAGGCTTCTACTCTCTGAGCTCCTAGGTCTAAGGCGAGGCGTAGCCCGGCGATCAAGGCCTCATACTTAGATTCGTTGTTGGACACTTTAAACTCGAACCTGAGGGCATGCTCTAACACCGTGTCATTTGGGCCGAGGAGAATAAGGCCAGCTCTGATGCCTTGTTGATTGGATGAGCCATCCACGTGTAGGGTTCATACTTGTGGTGGCGGGGCAGGATCCTCAGTTGTGAATGTGCATTCAGCAATGAAATCAGTTAGGGATTGAGCTTTGATCGTGGGTCGGGGTGTGTATTCGGTGTCGAACTCACTCAGCTCCACGCTCCATTTGATCAAGCGGCCAGATGCATTCGGCCTTTGGAGGACTTGCTTAAGCAATTGGTCGGTGACAAATTGAATATTGTGGGCTTGAAAGTATGTCCTGAGCTTTTTGGCCGAGGTAACCAGAGCCAGAGCCATTTTCTCCAAGTTGGAGTACCGGGTTTCCGCGCCACTAAGGACTTTGCTGGTGTAGTAGATTGGCCTTTGTACCCAGTCTTCCTCCTTGACCAGTACCAAGTTGACGACCTCATCCCCGGCTGAGAGGCAGAGCAATAGCTCATCCCCTGGGCTCGACTTGGTGAGGAGAGGCGGTGAGCTTAGGTACTGCTTCAGTTCTTGAAAGGACCCGTTCACATTCCTCGGTCCATTGGAAGTCCTTCGGTTGTTTGAGGGCTTTAACGAAGGGCAAACACCGATCCGTGGATTTGGACATGAACTTGCTAAGGGCGGCTATTCTACCGGTGAGTCGTTGCACATCTTTGTGGGTTCGAAGCGATTGCATATTGAGGATGGCCTGTATTTTCTCTAGATTTGCCTTAATCTCCCTTTGTCACCATGAACCCCAGGAATTTACCCGAGCCGTCCCCGAAAGCACATTTTGTTAGGTTCAGTTTCATCTTATACTTCCTGAGGGTACTGAAGACTTCCTTTAGGTTGGCAAGGTGCTACTTGGCCTTTTTGCTCTTCACTAGCGTGTCGTCAATGTATGCCTCTTCGTTTCGGTCGAGCCGATCTTTGAACACCTCATTCACCAACCGTTGGTAAGTGGCATCGGCGTTCTTGAGGCCGAAGGGCATGACCTTGTAATAATATAAACTGCGGTCGGTGATGAAAGTTGTTTTCTCCTGGTCATCGGGATGCATTCGAATCTAATTGTACCCTGAAAAGGCATCCATAAAGCTCAGGAGTTCATGGCCCGCCGTTGTGTCGACAAGTTGGTCGATCCTTGGTAGAGGAAAGTTGTCTTTGGGGTAGGCTTTGTTTAGGTCAATGAAGTCGATGCATATCCTCCACTTCCCATTGTTTTTCTTCACCATTACCATGTTGGCTAGCTAGTCGGGGTACTTGACCTCCCAAATGAAGCCGACATCGAGTAAATTTTGTACTTCGTCTGCAATCACTTGCTATCGTTTTGTTGTGAAACTCCTTTTGCTCTGCTTGATAGGTCGGTAGCGGGGGGTCGGCGTTCAAATGGTGTGTGATGACTTTAGGGTCGATCCCTGGCATATCTACTGCCGACCAGGCAAATATGTCGGTGTGGTCCTTCAGTAGCTGTACAAGCTCTTCCCAAAGGTGGTCATCTAGGAGAGAATTGACATGGACTGTCCTTTCAGGGTCTTCTTCGTTGAGCGACACCTGGATGAGGTCTTCGACTGGTTGGCCGCATTGTGCTCTCACTTCGTCCCTTAGGTCATAAGCTTCTGCCATCAATGTTTCCGCGGCTGGGTGTGGTCCTCGGCAGGAGAGCAAGTAGCACTGCCGTGCAGTTCTTTGGTCTCCACGTGCTACTCCTATGCCATATTCGGTGGAGAATTTCATGGTGAGATGGAGTGTGGAGACCATAGCCTACAGAGCATTAAGGGTTGGCCTACCGAGGATGGCATTGTATGAAGAGGGGCAACGAACCACAATGAAGTCTACCATGCTCGTCGTAGTGATGTCACCGTCTCCAATCAATAGGAGGAGGGTTATTCTTCCAATGGGTAGGAGGGACTCCTCAGAGAAGCCCATTAGGGGAGTGTTGACAGGGGTGAGGCGCTCTTTGTCGATGCCGAGCTTTTCAAATGCGTCCTCGAAGAGTACATCGGCGGAGCTACCTATGTCAACCAGGATCCGCCTTATCTTGAAGTTGGCCACCTCGGCTATTTCCAAGGTGTCGTCATTCGGGGTCTGAACCCCTCGAAGGTCATCGTTGGTGAATGTGATGGACTGGTCGTGCTTCTTCTTGTGCCCTTGGTTGTCGATTTCGCACAATCGCACATACTTCTTGCGCCCCGAGCTACTCTCCCCTCCTGCGGCGATTCCACCTGATATGACATGGATCACACCAGTAGGGGGAGCTCGGGGCAGCGGTCGAGCATCCTTCGTGTGTCGTTCCTCGTGTGCCAACTTCTCGCTCTTGATGAACCCATCGAGGTATCCGCGCCTGATTAGGTCTTCAATGTGGTTGCACAGGTTGAAGCAGTTCTCCGTGTCATGGCCATGATCTCTATGGAACTTGCAATACTTGTTGTGATTCCTTTTGTTGCTTTGTGTATTCATCTTCTCGGGCCAACGAATGTAGTTGCGGTCACGGATTTGCATCAGGACTTCAGACTGTGGCATATTGAGTGACGTGAAGTTTCGATAGTTCGGCGGGGGTGTCCGTGGTCTATGGTTGGGTCGGCGGTCTTGCTTCTTATGGTCTAGATTTGATCTTTCTGACTTTCGCTCCTCAGTATCTCTCCTCTTGTCAGACCTCTCTTCCTCATCCCGTAGTTGTGTCAGCGCTTCTTCTGTGTTGATATACTTCTGTGCATGGCTCATCAGCGCAGTCAGGGTTTGTGGAGGGTTCCTGGAGATGGAGAAGTTGAATGGGGATGGGTGGAGGCCATGTTGAATAGCGGTGACAGCCACAGACTGGTTAAGGTTCCTGACTTGTAGTGCTTCCTTGTTCAATCTTGCCAGATAGTCCCTGAGGGGCTCACTTTTCCTCTGTCGCACCTGCACGAGGCTGGTTGAGGTCTTCCAATGCTTTTGACTCGCTATGAACTGAGCACGGAACTGGGTTTCCAGCTGCTCCCACAATGCTATTGAGCATGGAGGATGGGAGGAATACCAGGTTAGGGTTGGACCTGTGAGGGTGGCCACTAAGGTTTTGCACATCAAGCCCTCGGAGGCTCCGTGCAACATTAACTGAGCCTTCAGTGCCTCGATATGGTCAGCGGGATCAGTGTTTCCATCGTACTTGTCAAGTTGAGGTGCTCGCCATCCTGTGGGAGGTACCTCGTCCACAACTTCCTAGGTGAAGGGTGGTTCCTTGGCCGTGGGCACGGTTGGTGGTGCAGGCTGATCTACAAAAGAGCCACCCTCACCCCTGGACACAAGCATGGGAGGCCAGAAACCCCGCCCACCATCAACCCCTAGGGCTGCCTCCCTTTGCACTAACATCTCAGTAGTATCAACCTCCCTTACGAAGTCGGAAAAAAAGGAGTCTGGTCTATTCGAACGAGCAGCCATGAGGAGGAAGAGACAGATACAGAATGGAGAGACAAAGAATGAAAGAAAGGAACATAAACAACTTTGGAGTACAAGGAACTCTAGGAAAACAACAACACTAGAACCCTACGGAGACACTAAGAAAATGTAAAGGGAAAATTGAAGCAGTTCCTCTCCCTTGATTTTATAGCGATTCTACTCCTCCCACACATACAGAACGCCAAACAGTGCCGGAGAAAAAGAAGGGACGCCCGTACAGGAACCAATATGATGCTTAGTGAAAAAGCAACCGAGGGAATTTACCTAAAGATCCTTAGAAAGGCGGGACCAAAACGGTGCATTAATTCAAAAGAGACGCCACACATGCGTATCGAATACCGGAGCAACCCTACACGTGCGGCCGACTGGCATTCATTATGGAATCACGAACAACGAGCCACGTGGTCACCCTCAAAGATTGTTCTCTTAATTCCCCTTCAACCACAACACCCTAATAAACCACCAAATCACCCGGAATCGACAAGAAACATACATTGGAAAGCTGATCCAATGATCACAGAGAAGGGGGCTCTACCCCTCCCTTCCCTGCTAGAACAGCAGTTCGAGAAGGGCATATAGCGATACTAATGCCCAAAGCAACTATAGAGGCTGGTACCTAGCGTTGTTAGTAATAACCCCCTACACCCACGTCCAGAGAGAGACAACAACGTCAGTACACAGCCCATTAGAAGAAATGTCGCTCAAAGCACAATAAACGACAATGAGCAAGCGGTATCACATAGATATAACTGAATTCAAAAAGCCCTGAGGYCGTTTGCGATCAGCTTTTAAAGACACCAAATCAGCTAAAATGATTACAGAAATTCATATGCACATCTCACAAAGCGGCCTACTCGTCTCTCATCAACACTATATTTTCAAGTAGAAGCCTTCGAGACTCGAATACCTTCAGTTTTCCCACCTTTGCTTCATATTCTGCCACTAATTCACGCTGACGACTGCACTCCGCCATAAGGGCCTCTAATTTCTCGGTAGCTTTAGTGAGCATTATTTAGGCTACCTCAATACGACAGCGCACGTCGCTCAGAGACCGCCCTTAAACCAATGGTGATTCTCCAAGACTAGCCTTTCAAAATACATGTGCCAGCAGGACAACACATTCTTTAATATGCCCGATGCGAAAACCGATAGCCGAAAAACACTCATAGGTCTTCAACCTTTGTGCGAAGATGAACCACGACAACTGATCTAAAGGGAGATTCATAATATTGTACATCATCATCGCAAGTGTATTCAATGCAAGACCAACGACGATGGAAGGTAGTTCGAAGGGAGGCAACTAGCCATCTTAAATAATAGATAGGGCAAATTTCTTAAAGTACCCCTAAGGTTTAGCAAATTGACTAACTCCACCCCTACTGTTTGACTATTATCTTAAGGTACTCCTACTGTTTCTGACAATTAACTAACATATCCGTTACTATTAAGTCTCCGTCACGAGCCGTTCACATGTGACATCATATGGTTGATGTTGCTTGCTCCGTCGAGAAACTGCTGCTGTCGCCTCTGCAACTACTGTTGTTCTTTGTCAAATCTGATCCACTAGTTCGGGTAAAAAATGGAATCTCCCTCCCTGTTATCATCTCTACCCGCCACCGCCACCGCAGAAACGGGAACAACAATAGAAACAAACAGAAACAACATATGAACTAAAAATAATCAATCTCTCCGGTGGCTCCATCTGTTGCAGTTTATTCTTCAAGATTTGATAGCCATGTGAGAAATCTTTAGCACTACCGGATCATTGGGGTTTGGGTCTATTCCACCACCGTAGATGATGAGGGGATTGCCGCCTCCACCTAAGTTAGCTAACTACCATAATCACCCTAGAGAAATGCTTCGGGGTGCGTATTTGGTAGCACTTCACGACCTGCCATATTTTCTTATATGCCTCCACATCTCCATGATAATTGCAGCGGTAACCCATTTAGGCGATGGTGTTCTTTCTCCATTTAGGCAGCGAAACTGAGTTCTCCACTCAGTCAACAAAACTGTATTAAAGCGATGGTCAAAAATGTAATTTACATTTTGGAGCGTTCATGTGAGATAGGGTAAAAGTGACAATTCACCTTCCTCCGTTAGGATTTAACGGTGAGGGCAATTTTCAGAAACAATAGGTACTTTAAGACAATAGTCAAACATTAGGGGTGGAGTTAGTCAATTAGCTAAACCTTAAGGGTGCTTTAAGAAATTTACCCCAATAGCTACTACAAATTTCTCCACAGATTTGGTCACCGTATACCTGTCATGCGAACGAACACCTTGGACGAGAATGCCGTCCACAGCCTCATACTCCAAAGGGGCCACGTTATTCTCATCACAATATTTCATGAGCAACCCATGGACCAATGCGAGTTCCGAATTATTTGCCACTCTTTTAAGTGATGACCCTTTTAGAGATGACGCTATGGAACCAACGGCCTCACTGATGTCCATCATGTGCAGGACATCAGGAACCCTAGCCTCTCTTTATGCACTGTGCTGATCAAGGGCCATCACTGAATGTAAAGTACAGAAAATATGACAAACACAGTAGGAAGCCAAGAGCAAGTAGGCAAGACGTAAACCAACGAGGCACACCACACCTTTTAAAGCACAACTCACTTCACATATCGATAACTATAACCCAATAGCAAGGAAGCCAAACAGATGCACTCAGGCGAATCGTCATGAAAAGTAGTCGAAAATAACTTATAGGTCCACTCTCCGAAAAACAGGACACAGCGACACATTCATTCAGATATAATGACACGCGCACCACCGTAATTTAAAGACTAAACACCCAAATGACGCATGAGGCATTCATCACACTAGGATAAACAAAATAATGATCATCACCCAATGCCTGTTCAAACGCCCATTAATAACAAATGATAACAACAACCAAGTGGTCCATCATCAATCAATACCATGCAGCAAAACAACCATCTACTGCTAACAAGCAACACCCATAACTATAATTTGTATTGCCTTTTGCTAATTTTCTTCCTGTCAACAGCTAGGGGGCTGGAACACATAATTAGTGTGTGACACTAATTGCCGCCAGAAAGCAAATCACCAAAAGACAGGGGGGGGCTAAGCCATAGATTATAATGAACTGTCAAACATGAACACAAGGTACACGGGATTTACACAAAGATGTAAGGTAGGAAAAACTCCAGACCCAATGCACATAGGCGAATCACAAAACCTGAATATGAAAAGACAATGTGCTTATCGATAAGCTTCCACTTAYTGATAAGCAGGGGGGCTAATGTAGGTATGTAGTGCTCATTCAGACCCTTAGAGAATATCAAACATCAAGATTAACACCACAAAGCACACGCGAGCAGCTCACAACCAACCCCTACGCTACGATGAACCCGCAGCAGCACACTAGCATCCCTGCGATGAACCCAAAATACGTATCGYAGTAATCGCGATAAACCCGCAGTTCACCGAGTAAAGTCAGCGTTAGAACCCAAAGAAACCACAACTGAATCCATCCGAGAGTACCAAGCCCTCAAGAATGTGTGATGAAGCCACGCCCGCTAAGGCGTGCGATGAACCCACAGCCCACTAACGCGCTCGTGGCGACGGGTCAGGGGGAACCTAGGCCGAGCCCATGGCGAGGCCCGCGTATACTCGGAGGCACGTGGAACCCATGACAGCAAAGGACATGGCGAGCTGCCACGTAGAGCCAACAAAGCGCCATCCGCCGAACAATAATGTCACTGATGCCATGCAGGATTAGTTATAGTGTGCAAAGAGGTTAGTAGCACACGTGAGTAATGAGGGATCTTAAGGATAAGGAAAGCCAATCACTGAGAAGATCCTCATGAGACATGTGGCGTAAACCTAGTAGCACACCCAATAATTGGCAATGAATCATATATTCCCTTTCCTGATACGGAGTGAGTATCCTCATCTCCTACCTTTTAGGATCTCGGGACCTCCCCATAAATAGAGGTCTTCCTCGTATTGAAGGGCCATTAGATCCCTATATTTGTCACCCAATACTCCTGAGTATGCTAGAATTCTTCCATTCTGCCCCCTTAACCTAGAGATCCTCATTCTCCCCTACTCACGAGACCTTTCTCTGTCTTTCAAAGAGACCGCTCCCCAACTAAGCCTTACCCCTCCTACACTATTACTACACATTGGGTGGAGAGATCAGCAAATGCTTTGGCTGATGGATTATCTAAGTAAGGGGCAAATAGGAAAGTCTTGTTTTGGGCTCAGTTGTAATGCTTGCCTTTGCCTTTTAAGTTTCATTGTAATCAGTTAAGAGAGGTTGCAGCTGTTGTATGAGTTCCCCATTATCTTTTAAAGTAATAAAACTATCTTTATTCATAAAAAAAAAAGATAAAGAGTAGTAGCCACAACTCGTTGGATTGCTACAAGGCTTAATGTTTGAATGAATTCTTTGCCTGGCCAATTTAAGGAAATTTGTAATGATTCTTAATGCCTTGCTACACTTCAGAATGAAGTTGAGCTTTTGAAATGGCATGAGTGCTTTATTGGATACATTTCCACACAAAGAGGCTATGTTAAATCTCTAAATAGTTAACTGTCCAAGTTCATCACCCCTAAAGTTTGGTTTTGCTACAAGGGTCAGCTGGACTGAGCCTCTTACTTACACCTAGAAGCAAGATAGTTTGGTCTCTAAGATATTTAGAAGAACATTCCAGTGGCCATCACTCACTCAATAGAGAATACGCTTGGGTTCTGTTCTCACCAATGGATGACACCTATACCCAAAGGGAAGGTGCTCACATTTGGTCCTACCCAATAGATGACATCTATGTTTGAGAGAGGACACCTTTATTTAACTCCAAGCATAATCATCCAAAATGGGACTACTTTTAAGCAATGGACATATTGCATTTTGTTACATTCCTCTTCTAGTGGCAAAGGAGAGAAAGTAACTTCCCTCGATATGTAGTGCAAAGCACCGCTTACAGAGAAATGAATTACATCGATATAGGCCATTCTCAACCGTTGCAACTGTCAAAAGTAAATAATAATAAGCCATAACAAAATGATTGGCCATGATTGCCATGCCATCACTAGAACAGTTATGCATGTGCAGTAAACATTGTAGGGGCGCTCACGGTTCAGTGGGCCTAAATTTCAAACCAAACCGATAGTACTGATTTTTGGAAAATTAATAATTGAAATCAAACTAAAGTGGATCGGTTAATTGGTTGATCGATTCAGTAACCATCGGTTTGGTTTATTGGCACTTTGATTTTTTTGACTTTATAAAATACATTGTAAATAAATATATAAATATATAATAAAAAATTAGAAATACATATAACATATTATATTATAAAGAAAAAATAATATATTATATATTATAAATAGTCAAATATATAGATAATATAAAATATACATAAATATAATATATACCGGTTGATTCAGTTAACCACCGTTTTTTATATTGGTTAACTGAAACCGACYTGGTACCTTTGGTTTTTTGAAAATACCAAACCAACCAGCTCGGTTAATCAGAATTTTCAATTCGGTCTTATCGGTTTGGTTTGGTTTTTCAGTTTTTTTACTCACCCCTAACGTTTGGTACTCCTAAATTGGGCCATGAATAGAGAGTGTGCTATCATATCTCGGAGAAGATAAGCTAAGTTTTGCTTATGGAGATTCAGAACTAACAATCGATTGTTCACACTTAAGCAAGCCCAGAAACAACTAGKTCAACCCCAAAGTTGATGATGTTATTCAATCCTACATAACTTCCACACAAACTATAACTATTAAAGCAAGATTACATGAACTTCATCAAGCGGCAAGATGCCATTTCCTTTGATAGGTTAGGCAACAAGAGGGAATTTATGTCCAAGTAAATTCAACAGAAATGTAATCTGAATCTAGTATGGACTTATTCTTACCTTGAGAAAAAATATAAATTGGAGCTACCACCAGTCTACTTGAAACATGCACAAAAATCTAGGATACTTCCTTATCTAGGGCTCTTCTCACTCGAAGTGTGGCTAGATCAAAAATTACTTAGCGCTCTAAAATATTAAGGGAGAGAGACTGGGGTCATGGAGAGAAGGTTTATTATGAGTCAACACATGAAACTACCCCTCTCCTAGCTACCAATTAGGGGAGGTTAACTCCTAGACTTAAGAGTTGTCAACAAAACCCCACCCAAGTAGGTACTTCAATTCCTATAATTACCACCACCTACCTTAGTTTTTTGAAAGCCTGGGTCCTAAGATAGACAGAGGCTGTTGAATAAGACTATTGAGAAGCACAAAACCATGATGAAACTACCCCTAGGTTTGAATCCAAACCAAACCTTGGCAACCCCAATCCTCAAACATTCTTTAAACAAGATTGAACCTGCCTTAAAATTGCAAGGTTTTTTTTTTCTTTATTAAGCAGCCAAACTAACCTTATCACAAAAGTGTTTGGCTGATGTATCAACTCTGAGATATAGCAATAATGATTTCTTCAAATCAAGAAAATGATTTAGAAAGTGTGAGCGTTGGGAAATGACTCACTTGGGCTGATTTGGAGTTGCTACCCATCAGTTATGTGAAATGGAGGTAATGGAACCTTTGGGATCTACATTGGGAAGCATGTTCGGTTTAATAGTGACTCCAGACTCAAGGCATTGGTTGAACCAATCTAGGTCAGACTTGGATGGGAGAGGGAAGAGGTTAGACACCCCTAGGTCCAATAGGCGGGGCCCACATGGGATTCCAAACAATAATAACAAATCAACATAAAGGAGAACTACCTTATCAATTTTATTTTTTTATATTTTTATATATTATATTTTATTATTTTTATATTTCTATTATTTTCTTTGTTTTTTCATTTTCAATTTTTTATTTTTTAATTTTAATAGGTATTTATTATATATATATATATATATTGTTATTGTTATTTTCTTATGGGACCCTATTTGCTTATTTGTTTTATGGGATTTATCTCTTTATTTTCTAAATATTTTCTTATTATATATATATATTTATTTTTTATTATTATTTTTTCCCTTTTCTTCCTCTTTTTTTTTGAATTTTCCTTTATTTGAATAATACTTTCTCTTTTACTACATATTCCCCTTGACAAATATATCCTACCTATTATGCTAAACACTCATATCCAATCAAATTCATTATTATATACTTTAAACTCTCTATTATTATTATTATTATTTATTTTATTCATTTCTTTTTTTACTATAATCTCCTAAAGCCTAGGTAGGGATAACAAGCAACTAAAACAATGTCTTTGAATATAAAGCTCAATAAACTAGGCAATTTATTCAATTTAAATTAAAGTAAATATGAAAATAAGAAGTAGGAAAACAAACCCAAACTAATCTAACATTAACTAGGCAGATTGAACTTCAACTTCAAATAATCAATAATCTTTAATATAGAAAGGGAGCAAACACACATAGGTCTTTTCAGTTATGTTTCAAT